AACATAAAGGGCAACTCCCCCTCCCCGCCTGCCAGGCCTGTCCTTCCTAAAGAGCCTGTAACCTTCCATTCCAACACTCCAGTCATAGGAGCCATCCCACCATGTTTCTGTGATGCCTGTTATATCATACCCCCGTAGACGTGCACACATCCCTAATTCCTCTTGTTTGCTCCCCATGCTATGGGCGTTTGTATAGAGGCATCTGAGCTGAGCTCCAGATGAAGCTGGCTCCTTGGCTGGAGTGGCTGGGATATCTCTACATTGCTCCGAGCATTTATTATAGGTGCTGGCAACTGGCTGGGAGTGTTGGGATGGAATGATGCCCCCCTCCCCCAACACATCTAGTTTAAAGCATCCTTGACCAGTCTGGCAGGCCTCCTACCAGAACCACTCTTCCCCTTCTTTATCAGAGCAGCTCCACCAGCCCCCAGCCTACAAACTTGGGTCCCGTATTCAAGACACCCAAACCCCTGACTATGACACCACCCTTTTAACTATTTATTAACCTGGCTAATCCTCCTAGCTTTTTTAAGGTTCTCCCCTGTACCCTGGAGAATTGACAAAAAGACTATATGAGCTCCAGAGCCCCTAGACCACCTCTCCCAGGGCTCTGTAGTCCTTCTTCATGTTCTCTAGGCTACTACTATCTATATCCCTAGCACCCACATGGGTCACTAGAAGTGGGTAATAATCCGTGGTACTTACTAGAGCAGGCAGCCTCTCTGCCACATCCCTGATCCGTGCCCCCGGTAGGCAACACACCTCCCTTGAGACGGGGTCTGGCCATCCATCTTTCTGCAGCCTTGAGATGTTAGACTTGTTCAGTCCAGTATTGTGTAACTGCCATACGATGCCCTAGGACAAAAATAACTGACTAATGCTTAGTTTCAGCTTTAGACAGAAAAAATGAAATCACAGAAGGATCACCTATTATCTCTTGCATCATAAGTTTAATTTCTTTCCTCACAGTCTCATAAATAGCATCTGGTAGTTGCTGCAGAAAGCATTAGCAAATATATTTTGTGTAAATTGAATTTGTTCCATGTGTAATCATAGCGATCAGATTAGTTCTCATTAGAATTTGTTATTTAATAAAGTGTTGTCAATAAAACTGGCTGTGAAAATTCTGGTCAATATACCTCAGCATGCAAGTATTTGCATAAACCTATACATGAACAAGAGCTTGGAATAACTTTGTTCAAGTCACATTCCTGAAAGCTTTTTGAACTTGCAAGTCATCTAGCTGGGGCAAAACAGCTATTCTCTTATGGTCATTCAGTAGCTAATATATAAAATAATGTTAACAATTAATATTTAGGAAATAACCTACTAGCTGAAACATGTTTGTCATTATTGAAAGGCTGGCTTAAGGAGAAAGATATTTACAAGCCTTCTGCTGCTTTTAAGTCTGAACTCTACAGAGATTCCTGGTTTGGATAAATTGGTGTCGCTTCAAGCATTTAAAGGGAGCTTAGCCAATTTCTGTCAACTGAATGCTTTCCGTTTTCACTGGGGACTAATATTTGACCAGCTGTAACTCTAATAATTGTGTAACTAATTAACACTTTCTAAAATTATGTATTCAAATAGCGGTTGTCCTGTTTGGTAAATAGCAAATTAACGTGAGCTATTCGAAGTATGTTCACAGAATTCATACTCATTGGGGAAAAAGAAAGCACTTTCCATGAGTTTGGATTTTCAGCCTTGTTCAGCAATATTGGATAGCCTGCTTTTTTTGCCCAACTATACAGACTGGCTGGACCTTCAAGTTAAACTGTTTGAATGCTGCTTTTGGGGTTTCACTGTGAATTATCACAATCTTTTCTCCCTGCACTCTGAAAAGTCTCATCTGAGATTACTCACAGGCTCTTTAGCTGTCCCTTGTTCCCACTGCAAAAGTAAAAGCAAGTTAAAGCCTTGACCAGATCAGGGTTATGAAAGCATTTAGATTGACATGGAGCTTCGTTAGCTGACGTGTTTGAGGTAAGACGCTATTAGGTAGTGAAGGGTGGGGAGGGAGTTTCTTTGATCAGTGTAGTTTCATGTGAAGCCTACAGAGAAGTAATAAATACTGGTTAGTCCTATCTTAATCTCTAATAGTTTCTGTATTTCCATCAGCTGCTTCATGACATGACGTGATTATTTTAGTCAGGGTCCCTGACACTTGGTGTCTGATGGGTATTCCACCAATAGCAGTGGAAGATGTTACTCCTCCTCTCAGATAAATTTAACAGAGAAGGAAGGAGAGCATGTGCAAGGCCTCTGCAGTGCTGCAGGTCACAGCCTGGTTCATAGTTGTGGGTTGCCAATGAAGACAGCATTACAGCAATGTGACAAGTTGTGAACTGAGATCCAAGCATACATCCTGTTTTGCTTACTCCTCCCACCTAGTACTACACTCTGGAGAAAGTCTGAGGTCTCTTTCAGTCATGTTCATCTTCCCTTCTAGTTATTGCCTCTGATTATGGTTATCAATTTAGGGCCTAACAGAGTAGACTTCAAGCAGCACCTAATAATTCTGGGGGTCCCAAATTCAACAGAAAATAAAAATTAAACATAACTTGAGATATAGCTTCACCAAATAGTGCTATATTGGACAACTCTCAGGCAAAAACCTTCTATTTCTTCTTTTGACATGTTGTTCTTTTCTTTCACTGGCAGCTTTCTTGCACATTCTGTGGTGGAAAGGATGTAAAACATAGTTTATGTGTGATTAAAGGTTTGTTGGTTTTGAATTTTACTGTTAATACTTTTCCCCCAGTTAATCAGTTAAGTCTTTTTATGGATATCTTACCTAGACCTTTGTTTGCTACAAGATATATTGCAAGCAGAGTACTTTTTTTTTGTTTTGTTTTTAATATATATATATATATATATATAAAAAACAGTATTTTAATGTAAAATACAAGCACCTGCCTTTATAGCCATTGAGCAAAATCAAAAAGTTTGTGAACTCAGGTTTGAGAGCAAAATGTTTCTGGTGAGATTTGAAGTAAGTTTAATGCCGTTGATGGGGGTTGGGGTAATTGAATATACTTGGCACTTTGAGGCAATTAAGTTGAGCAGTATTGAAGCAGGAAGGCATCTAAAATTGTCTCTTCCTCATGCTCCTTGTTATGCTCCATGTTCCTCCAGTTCCTTGTTAGCAGCACAGCCTTGTTTGTAATCCCGGCTGGTTTCTCATACCATGCTCTTGTGCTTACTGTGCATGTACCTCTGGCTATCAGTACTCCAGTGGTGTACAGGAGGCAAGCTAATCTCTCCCTACCAATAACTTTGCTTATAAGATTGCTTTCTGGTTGAAATTAGTAGCCCTCGGGTTTCTGCTGGAGAAATCTTGTGACGTACTTCATCGGATTCTGTTAATTAGTGTGGCATATAAGGAAAAAAAAAGCTGGAAATCTTCAGCAATAAAAATGAACAATGCAGAGCTGCGAGGCTGGGACTGATAAGGATATGATTGTTGTGTTTGCTCGCATTTTCACTGGTACAAACAGCTTTGAACCAGAAAGACAGAGCTCAGGAGCAGCTGGCTGTGTGTAAGCCCAGACCTTCTGAGGTTGAGGGAATGCATTAAACCCTCTGGTAAGCTAGTCGGGTGCATGAAGATAGGCACATTTAGAAAAAACTTGGAAAAACCCAACGAACTTTGCCCTCTTTGCCCTTGGAGCATATTCACAGATAAGAAGCTTACGCTTCTCAGAAATGGGGGTTTACAGCCAGCCTGAGGAATAATAGGTATAGTAGTGGTAATAGTCTAGGTATAGTGAGGTAGTAGTCTAAATTATCTGTTTTTTTCTTTTGTTTGTTTTCAGAAAACAAAACGTATCCTATATTTTGCTGCTTTCTGTGCTTGCTTTTCATGAGTACCCAAGTTCTGAAGCCTAACCCCATTTTCAGGAGAAGTACCTGTTAAACGTATGCTCTTGGTTAGCAGAGTCATCAGTTATGCCCTTTTTTTGTGAGCGCACTTGATAAAGTGGAATTATTCACTGGAAATCTTTTCCAGAGATTCAGTACAAATCTTTAAAAATTTTCTAAGAAATGTATGTGTCCCTACTAAGGCTGGGTTTTGGAGGAAGTGTATTTAAACTTTGCACTCAGATGATGGGTTTTCCAGAAAAATAAACTTCCTAAAATTCTCTTCTCCCATTATATTGTCCTACTACTTTAACTGATTTTGCCTTATCTTTGATGAGCAGCTACAGCTCATGGATGTTACCAGAGAAAAGATCAGAGTTATTGTCTTAGTGAAAGGAGTGACATCTGTGTAATATAAATGAATTGCCATTTGTATTGAGCATTCATTACTACTCTGTTCCAGGATAATTGTCTAAATAGGTATAAAATGTCCAACCTACCTAATGAAACCCTTGCTACCACGTTTGGGCTGGGTACTTGGGGGACAAGCACAATTCTTCCCTTTCTTTTCTTCCTCTACATAGTTCCCTCTGTTAGAGGAAGAACTAAAAGACCTGTGATTTAAAGGTGGTTTTGAGGAGTTTAGGGCTGGATTATCTGAACCCACGGTGCTGCTGGTCTGGAAGCGTTGCACTGAGTTTGGCTTCTGGTGTGCTATGGAGCATGATTCAGACTGGAGTAGCACTCAGTTCAGTAAGCAGAGAGCTTATACAGTCTGCTCAGCGACCGTGGGAGACAAGCTAAACATGCCTGCCAAACTTTCCTCAGAGATATTAATTCATCTCCATTTAATCATTTTTGAGACAAACTCGCATGTCGTAGTAGTGGCTGTCTCTTTTGTGACAAAGCTCTTTTCTACAGCTGGATTCAGGTCGCAGGAGTCCTGTTCCTGCATAAAGGTGGGTGTGTTGATCTTCCAGTGACTTTAGGAGTGACGTACGGTGTCTGTAGGCACTCTACAGGGTAAACTCCCCAATTCCCATCAGTGGTCCTCTTGGAGGTGGTAATATATTTTCGTTCTGTGGTTTTTGCCCAGGCTCAGATTAGTGCCTCCCATATAGAAGGAGGGAAGGAAAAAAAAAAGAGAGGGAAGGAGCTACTACAAATGACAAAAACGTAGCTTTTCTAAAAGTGATTAGAATGTGCTTGAGGATATGAATATTCATTGGTGAGGCACTGAGTATGTGCTAAAAATGTACATATTTTCTTTGCAAGAGAAAGTAATAACATCACTTTGTAAAAATTCCTGGGTATCTAAGAAGTATTTCCATTTTCTCTGTCTTTATAGGAGAAAATAGGAGGAAAAAAGCCCCATAACCAAGCCCAAGAGTGAGTTTCTACATGTGGCTTATTACATGGCCGTCTTAATGCTAGTGCTGGCAGGAGAGAAGGGGTAAGCAAAGGTGTGAACAGTCAAGAAAGCAAGGGTGGGACCACTGTTTCTGACCTTAACCCACAAAACTCCAAACCCACTCATTTAAAATAGTTAGGACACTGATGATATAGCTTCAGGGTAGTACTAAGGAGCCATAACCATAAGCTACTGCTGAAAGAGGCGGTCCTGCTTCCCTGCTCATTCCTGCTATGCCTTGTGCTTCACTGCTTCTCTTGTTCCAGCACTATCACTTAGCTGGCCCCACTGTAGACCTGTTCAGGCGTCTCAGCAAAAACATTAATACCTACAAGAATATAACTAGTCTTTTGCTTGGATTTCCTGAAGCATAATCTGCACCCATAACCCAGTGTGTTATGGGTGCAGGGCAAAGAGGAAATAGTAATGCAAAGCATGGATTACTTGTGGGCAGTGGAAAACTGAGATTTAGCTGTAGAGCAAAATGCAGACAGAGAAGAACTAACTCTGTGGATTTGAGTCAAAGCAAGAAATTGAATTTGGGTGTCCCACTTGCTGTTAATGAATGCAGCTATATAACTGTTGGTTGATTTGAAGAATGATTTGGTATGCAGGTGGGTGGCAACAAGGAAAAAAGCCCCCAGTTTGTTTTATCTATGCTATACTTTTGACAGAGATTGAAGCTCTGTTATATAAAATGTCATAGTTAAGTGGTTATGGTGTTTTATTATCAGTATCTCCCCTTGATACATAGCTTCTTTTTATGGACTTATATTTAAGCAAGCTGCTTATATTTAGGTAAGACTTGGAAGAAGCTCACACATGTTATTTCAGTACACACTGTAGTCTCAGGCAGATTTATATTTCTAAGAATTTCCTAGCTTTCCCTTTAGCTACTACAGTTAAAATGCAAATGATACTAGATTTGGGGATTAAATTTTGTAGGTCACAGTGGGTCTTCACAATTTGTCTATTTTCTACTACTGCTGAATATGAAAACATTAGGAAGTTCTTCATATTAGTGTTGTGCTAGTATTCCTTTGTACAGACTTCCTGTTTTGTGCAGTAGAGGTTTTTGCTGGACATTTGGTCTTCAGCATGTAGTGTAAGGTTTTTCTCTTTAGAGATTATTAACACCTTTTTGCACTCTGTCTGTATTAACTGTACAAGCAGATGGACAGTTTTTCCTGGTTAAATTGTTTTTAATTTAGCCTAAGTTTGGTTGCTGGCCAAGTACTCATCACCTGTGGATCAGATTTGGCAGCTCTTTTGTTTCTCGTCCAGATATTTTTTTCACAGGATTATTTCTTTTTGAAAGGCCACACCAAAGTATAGCTGAAAAGCAAACAAAACACACTACTGGATTTCAAATAACAAAGAACTGCTGAACATGTAATTTCTCTTGTTTTGGTCTTTTTAAATCATCATTCAGTGCTTTTGTTGGCATAGCTGCCTAAGACTAGGGCATAAACAATTAGCTGGAAATCATCATCTTTTTTTGTTTCCCTGCATACAGGAAGTTTAGCACAGTACATACTGTTATCTTAGGATGGACCTCTTATTGTTCTCCCTTTTCTTAAATAGTCATAATTAGTATGTCATAGGCTGGTAACAGATGTATAAGACCAAAAACATTTGTGCAATACAAAAAAATCAGCTTGTACTATTGACTGTAAAGCACCCTTGAATGCATCCAACTCCACTGTTTCTTACAGCAGCCTAATTTCTTGAAGTGACTTCTCCTATCTCTTGTTTACAATCACTGAAGCTGAGTATTTTCCAATGCAGTTGTCCCTGAGGATGTTTTGCTCTCCCTGTCCCCTATAGGGCAGTTGCCAGTGTATCTGGAAGAGATAGGAAAATAGGACAATCTAATGGACCATTCACTTATCTAAAACACTGCTACACTGGCTGTTGTGATTGCTTTGTGTCATTAGAAGATTACTCAATGCCAGACTAAATCTTGGAGGTCCTGTCACACTTGCCTTAGATCACTCAGTCGGGGTAATATAGTATACTTTGATTGAAAGAAAGAAAGGGATCTGGGCTTAACACTGAGAAGGCAAGTAGTTACTGGTATGTATTTGAACAGTGAGGTAAGCGTGATGCCTTTGTGCTATACAGCAAGACAGGATCAGAGAACTAACTGCAAGAAGCGTTGACTTCTCTAAAGAAACTGACTGGTCTATCATTATTAATTTTATTATCTGAAGCAGGCCTTAAGTGGGAACAGTTTAAACATGTAAAGGATATTCTGCTTTCTACTTTAATATACGTAGCTTATAACTTAGAATATTAAAAATATAAAAAGTCTCTCTGAGTGTGACTCATACCTACCACCGTGTCTGGTATTGAACTCCTGAAATGATCTTTTACCTATTTGCCTTGGGAAATCTCTTGTCTACTTAAGCCAGAACTCTGGAAAACAAGATGACACATACTGCTGTTCTGGCTAGCAGTTCCTATAGATGCTATTAAACAAATCTCCCATAAAGGAACACATTTTATGAGACAGCTTTTATGCTGGTCAGCATGCTTCACCTCAGTAAATGTTTATATATTTCACACTAACCTGGGTTGGGCTGCAGGTTTCTGGTATTAGCTGCATTCACACTGAGATACTTGGAGTTATACAACAGCATCCCTGGCAAAGCAGTTCTGCTATAGTTCTGGTCTCAAGGTTTATAAACCTTTCCTTTCACTAACTTGTGCTTTTGCTGTCACCAACAAAGGGCCAGTTTCTGAAAGGGTGTAAGAGGGTGTACCTTTCTTTCCTATAGTTTCTCTGCCAGTGGGGCAATGAGTTAAATCATTTTCAGAAGAAGCAAGGTACTTTCAGTGCTGTCCTGAATCCCTTCCATTACAGAAGCAACACATTGTAACTGTCATAAAAGGCCATTGTAACTTAAAAAGCTTCTCTGATTAGTCAATCTTTTCTCCATTTATCCAGGAAGATGGAATTAGCACAATGGAAAAGAAAGCCTGAAATGGGTCAGTTATTTACAGTGCATTCAGCTTTCTTTTGTGTCTGAAAAGACTTCTATTTAGTTTTTATATGATTAAAATAAAAGACAGAGGAAGCTGCCAGAGGAAAGAGCCCAGGATTTTGGGCAACTGCTTTTAGCAACATAAAAATGGTATTGAAGCAAGTGTACCCGATATTTAAGTCTTTCTGGAACAAACCCAATTTTAAAAGACATTTTGAAGCCGTTTAATAGTCTACTCTTTTCCCAGATTCCTGTTTTCACACCTCTTTATTGACATAAGGATATGGCTGGGGTCAGTAGCAATTTGGGAAAGAAAGCAGAACAAATTTCCTGATCACCATGTGATAGTACATCTGCCATTTCAATTTAAGCCAGCATCTGAAGCTACTGCATTTGTAGGCATTTGGCCAGATTCTGATGTAACTGGCATCAGTTTTAGACTTGTGCAACTACTCTGTAAATCTGGGCAACTCCAGTGTAGTCAGCCATGTAAGAGGAGAATAAGGCCTATTTTTACCAGGTCAGCCTTTTTTATAATGTTTGCAGTGTCTTGGAAATTTGCTCCCTATCTGTTGTATTTAATCCGCTTGAACTCCTTCTCTGAGGTGTCCCAGTTTACTCAAATGTTGGTGTAGAAGACAGGACGCTATCACTTGTGATCTGTCTCTTGAGGCAACAATTATAATGTTGTCTTTTGAAGGTTTTCTTTCTGGGGTTCAAGCAAAATTTTAATGTAAGGAGGCCTCACTGCAAGCGACTAAAATTTGAAGATCAAAATGTTCATATGCAGTAAGTGCTCTAATATATGGCCCAATCATTAATCTGGTTCAAATATGTAGTTGGGATGTATAATCCCCACAAGTCTACCAATTGCCTGAGACCCCAGGATGTGTGTTCTGACTAGAACAGAATGAGTTGGATGGAAGGATGCAAAAAACCTGTGTCTAGTTATCTGGTCATAGGGAACTATGTGTTGTAACATCATTCACCTGGGTATAACCCCAACAGGAAACAGTCCAAGAATCAGGCTTTCCATATTGAAACTTTAGTAAATCCAGTTGAGGATGTGAAATATAGAGTGGACATGGCGGAAATAAACTAGATCGAATAATCTGCACAGGATAATTTACCTGATTCTAAACAATTTCGTTAAATAGGTCCAATTCTTACAACAAATAAGAAATTATAACTGCTTTTGAAGTGAAAAAGTTGGGAATAAATGGAGTTGTAATGTCACAAAATATCCCAAAGGGGTTAGTGCTTTTTTTTTGTTAGATTTCCCTGGGAGTATTTGAACCAATAGGCTTTTTAGAGCTACTGGCCAGATCAGTGACATTGCTTGTGTTGATCAATGCAGTATAAACATTATTACAGGCAGTCCTTACAAGACACACCTGTCTGATTTTTAAATGTCAAATTATAAAAAGTAGCAAAATGTGATAATATGAATGTTTTGAAAAGGCACAAAACCACACAGGAAAGAAACTCTCATGTTGGAAGGCAATAGATCACAAAGTGGTACCCTGTCATCCTTCAGTGTGATATCCTTTCAGTTTAATCTTGATTTAGGCTTTTCTTATCAGTGGATATTTATGTTCATTCTGCAGCTAGAATAGACCCGTGGAAAACTGTGAGAATTTTGCTGGGGCTCTGTGCAGGTGCAACTTGTCATGCATTTCATTGAGTGGCAGAGGTCATAGGAAATAATTGTTTCCACTGATCACCATGTTATCACCTCTGTGTGCATTGTACACTAACTTATTTTGTCATTCCTAGAAAGTAATTTTATAAGTTCTTAGGATAAGCAATATAGCTAGTGTGACTTTCAAATCATTCTGAGATTGGTCCCAGCACTGACCCCTGAGGGACTCCACTAGTCACAGACCTCCAGCTAGATTCTGCCCATTAACCACAACTCTCTGCCTTCTTCCTTTCAATCAGTTCTTGATCCACCCCACTACCTGGTCATCAAGCCCACACTTCCTTAGCTTATCTATGAGGTTGCTGTGGGAGACAGTATCAAATGCCTTACTGAAATCAAGGAAAACCACATCT